CTCTATCTATCTAACAGCATTCCCTCCCCTTCCCTCCCACCCCTGGTAACCAACAAAGAAAATGTCCTCCAATATATAAACATTAAAGTGGAGAATTCTTAACTAACAAATGAGAACATATCTGGCTTTGTTACACAACATCTGGTTTTTCTTGAAAAGCTGTATAATAGGATTCTGGAAATTCTGAGAGTGAAGGTTCAAATATTTTACTACTTTTCCAAGTAATCATAAAAGAGGCATACGGAGTCCTGTCAAATGTCTTACCTCAAGTAAGTGTACCACATTCAGCAAGCAAATAACTATGGGAAGAAGGGAAAGTAGATCAGCCAGGATGGAACAGTTCGCAAAGCACCTGAGTACAGAATCTTGTGCAACTCCAGTCCCTTGTATAGCAGCACCAACCCCATAAGAGTCAGGAAATAAAAGTGAAAGGTCTGAGGGTTAAGGAATTGGGAAGAAAAAGATGATGCCTCACTTCCATATCTCAGCATCTAGAGTCCTCAATATCCCAGCAGGAAAGCAGATTGCCTGAAAGACTGCTCCCTGACACCTAACCAAAGGAACTCTGTAGGGGTCAGCCCTGCTTTCTCCGCACTCTGAATTGAGATGGATCCAGGGGAAAGCCAAAAGACACAGCAGAATACAGAGAGTGGAGCACAGTGGCTGGAATCTGTGGTCTGCTGGGATTCAAGACACTCTAGGCTCCTACTCTCACCCTTGTACAAGTATTTAATCACTAAGCCTCAGTTTCTTAACCTTAAAATAGAAATAATGACAGTGTCAGCCACACAGGGTTGTTTTAAACATGAAATAAGACACGTAAAGCATTCAGCATACAGCCTACCACAGTGGCTCTCAACTGGGAGCAAAATTACTCCTCTCAGGGGACAGTTGGCAACATCTAGAGACATTTTTCAGTGTTATATCTGGTGGTGGGGAGTGGGTAGTTGTGGTGTGTGCTACCAGCACCTAGTGGGTAGAGATCAGGGATATCCCTGAACATCCTATAATGTACAGGAGAGTCCCCATAACAAAGAATTATCCATCTCAAAATGTCAATAATGTGAAGACTGAGAGCCCTGGCCTCATATATAGCAAATACTCAATAAATGTGAGCTAGAACAAAAGTATCTTTGTTATTGTAACAACAAATCAGTCTTAGTTTCTTTCCCTCAAGGATAACTAGCATCTGTGACTAAAATGATAAAAGACCAAACATATTACTTACTCCACTTCCTGTGATGCTGGGTAACAGATCTGTCATTCTGGAGACAGGAAGAGTTTGCTGCTTGGTGGATTCTGGGGAACCCAGTAACTTTGTGAAATAAGTAACATAGCAGAGCACCAGAACTGTGGTATAGAAAAGCTGAAAAAAGAAAAGAAGGCATTAAAATGAAACTGTTTTTAATATAGGCATAATTAAGATATGCCTATAAATTTGACTTCAAAGGCCAATCAAGAATTAGAACTGTTTTAATGTCACCTTCTGCTGAGCGATACTTTACCCTCTGGAAAACAGCCCTATGGACTAGGATCCATTCCAATGCAGCACCTCTGTGGAAAATGTTGCAAATACTTCACCTAATTGGGAGGACAGAAGTTCTTCTGGCAGGCAGAACATAATTGTCATGACAGATGCTCACTAGCTCAACAGACATAGCAATGTTAGATACATTCTCAAACGACATCTATTTAGCCTGAGGAACTATTCTCCCACCTAGATAGCACCCTGTGAGAATGTGTGTGTCTGCAGTGTGCTCATATCCAGGAACTTGCCGTCATCTTGGACTATGGAGTTTCCATAAACCCAGGAAACCTGTGACATTTATGATTACAAAGCAGAATTGAGCTCCTGGCTCTCTCTTCTCCACCCAGTGTATGGGCAGGGCGAGAGCTACTACAGGATGGGGGGTGGGGGGAATGCAGTGATAAGAGGGCCCCACCCCTCCCTCCACCCATCTGGGAGAAAAGGATGGCTTCTGGCCAGGAGTGGCTGCCCCGGGTTTTGTTTACAGGTTGGGCAAGAGTATCTAAAAAAACTGCTTCACAAGCTCCCTTCTCTCCTTTTTCCCTCCAAAGAATAGCAGTACAGACTAGCTCAAGAAGGAATGTGACCTCCAACTCCTATTTTCAACCTCTAAACACTGAGGATGCACCTGTAGTCAAGGCACAAAGCAAGGACAAGAAGTCTCAGCTTAGCAGGTTTAGGCTCTCCATTCCATCAATGTCTGAGGACAGAACCACCACCCACCATCCTCCTCTCAGGCCTCCAGTCCCTTAAGACACACACCATCAGATGCCAACAACTTCCGTGGCAAGGGACCCTTTCTTTGGCCCTCTTCCCAGCCTTTCCCCATTTTCCTGCTGACCAGAGCCTTTGGGAGATAGTGAAACCCTACGAGTAGTCTTAATGCAGAGTGTCCTAACTACCTGAGCCTCTCCCCTTTTTTAGTTGAGGAAAAACTCACATAACATAACATTTACAATTTTAAAGTGTACAGTATAATGGCTTTTAGCACATTCCCAATGTTGTACAACCATACCACTATCTAGTTCCAGAATATTTTCATCACCCCAAAAGGAAATTCCATATTCATGAGTAATCACTTCCAATTACCTACTTTTCTCCAGCCCCTAAATCTGCTTTCTGCCTCTATGGACTTGAGTATTCTGGATACTGCATATAAATGGAATAATTTAATATGTGGCCTTTTGTGTCTGGCTTCTTTTACTTAGTATAACGTTTTCAAGGTTCATCCATGTTGTAGCATGTTTCAGCACTTCACTTCTTTTTATGGCTGAATAATATTCCATTGCATGATTATACAACATTTTAGTTATCCATCCATTCACTGATGGGCATATGGTTTGTTCCCACCTTTTGGCTATTGTGAATAATGTTGCAATAAACATTGGTGTAGAAGTATCTGTTTGAATCCCTATCTTCAATTATTTTGGGTATACACCTAATTAGTAATTCTATGTTTAACTTTTTGAAAACCACCAAACTGCTTTCCACATCAGGTGCACCATTTTATAATCCCACCGACAATGAACAAGGGCTCCAATTTTTCCACATCCTTGCCCATACTTGTTATTTTCCACTTTTAAAAAAATTCTAGCTAACCACTGTCACTAAATGGCACACACAGCAACTACGGAATTGGTGTATGCTTTCCTGTGTATATTCTCAACAACAACAAAATAAGTAAAACTGAGGGGGGAAAAATCTTTTTTTAAAATGTATTTTATTGAAATATAATTTATGTACAGTGAAATACACAAAACTAAAGTGACATGGGTCAATGTATTTTTTTTTTCAGCGTTCCTCCCCTCCCCTCCTACCCCTGGCAACCAACCAAGAAAGCTTCCCTCCATATATAAACCTTTCCTTGACCCTCCACAACAATGAACTAATATTATATTTGTCTTTCTGTGATTGACTTATTTCACTCAGCATAGTGTCCTCCAAGTTCATCCACATTACGTGGTGTTTTGCAGACTCTACATTATTCTTTAGTGCTGCATAGCATTCTAGTATGTACCATAGTTCGGTCATCCACTCTTTCGCTGTAAATCTCAGAGATAAGTCCCTTGCCAGATATGTAATTATTGGCAAATATGAACTTGTTGCTGTCATTTTTGTTATGTGCTTTTTTGTGGTGTCGATTTCTTTGTTCCATATAATTTTCTATGCTGAGCTCATTTTGTTTATGAATCGTGTTAACACTTCCTTCATTGCTATTGTTTTAGTATTTGCTGAATATTTATGCTGTTCCACTTTTTTTGATGTGAAGGTTTATC